TCTCTCTCTCTCTCTCTCTCTCTCTCTCTCTCTCTCTCTCTCTCCCCCTCCCTCTCTGAAATCAATAAAACTATTTCTAATTTCACAATTTGTCTTTAGTTAAGAATCATATATATTGTTTAAATGAGAAAATAGGAACAAGAAAGTGACAAATTATTAGTAATATTATAGCAGAAAATACAGCTGAGCATATCAGAATAATCCATTTTTAATTAGGTTGCTAAAGAATACATATCTAAAATTAACATGAGAAATAGTTTTAGAATACTAGCTGAACTTTCTTAATCTTATAACACCTTGAGTGAAGATATTATCTAAAAATAAAATCAGAATTTTACTATACCCATGGTTTTCTTCATAATATTGTAGAATACGCCACCCTTCTGGAACATGTGAGGAAGCCCCTTTGCATAAGACCATACATCTTCTCCTGTAAGATAAAAACAGATACAGTATTAGCAACAAACAAAAGTGTTCAACCAGGGTTGTTTTACATGGATTAGCCACTAACAGAGATTGCAAGGCAGCCTGGTATAACATATAGGGAGATAATATGGAATGATGAGGCTATAGCACACTAGGAAATGCATGACCCACCTAAAGATGGCAGCCACTGCCAAGTACTGTCATGGAAAAGTGTAGGTCCAATGTTTCAAGACAAAAATGGCTTTTCATAAGAAGCTGGAAATCTGCATTTTTTAAATGTGAATTTTTAAAAAATATGTTTTTATTGATTCAGAGAGAGGAAGGGAGAGGGGGAGAGAGCTAGAAACAAGGATGAAAGAGAAAGCTCTATCCATTGAGCCAAACTGGTTTCGGCAAATCTATTATTCTTGCTATTTTTGTATATGTTTGAACATTTCAACAACAGCCAAGTTGATGTGGGGGTAGGGTTAAGAATGAAAAAAAAAGTGAGAAAGAGATAAAATAGAGATTATGCACTTAATGTCTACTGAGGTCAGATAGGTGAAGAAGATAAGCCAGAGTGATAAAGTCTGAAACCAAAGCATTCACATCGTAATTTTAAAAAGACATGTGTGTTCCAAACACACATTGGCATCCTCTCTCTCAAAATCTTAAAACTCTGAATATAAAGTTATGTACTCACACATGCCTCTATAAACAATGCACACACAATGTGAAAAGTACTAAAATATAAATGAGCTGTGTCCTAAAATCCAGAAAGCCCTGGGGCATGTATAACAATCATAGCCAAAACACAATACAACAAACTGTATTTATCTGGTTCTGGGATAGTCACTCGCATTAAAACCAAACTTGACCAAGAATTGAACCAGCAACCTCCTGGTGCACAGAAGGATGTCCAACCAACTGAGCTACAGCAACCGGGCAATTCTCTCAATTTTTAAATGTAGGAGCTAATTAAAAAATGTCTTCACAATTACACAAATATGAGGCATATTAAACAAAATAGATCTGAAAACTCAATACAGCTCAAAGGATACTAAGATAATTTATTAAAAAATAATATAAAATTGTATTGTCTATATTTATGTTAAAGCCAAATAAAAACAATGGAAGGGGGAAAAAAAACAATGGAAGGGGCTAGGGAGAAAAGTAAATAGGCTGAAGATAAGTAATGTTTCGGCTCGATCCCCAGGTGCCACGCAGCAAGCATCAGATCAATGATTCTCTCATCATTGATGTTTCTATCCCTTTCTCCCTCTCCCTTCCTCTCTCTGAAATCAATAAAAACATAATTTTTTAAAAAAAGAATGGAAGGAACATAAAGTTACTTTTGGTTTGTAGAATGTGGTTGTTTTGTTTCTTTTTAAAAAAATTTCTTTTCTTTTTTAAAAATATATTTTATTGATTTTTTTTAGAGAGGAAAGGAGAGAGATAGTCAGAAACATCGATGAGAGAGAAACATCGATCAGACGCCTTCTGCACACCCCCCACCGGGGATGTGCCTGTAACCAAGGTACATGTCCTTAACTGGAATGGAATCTGGGACCCTTTAGTCTGCAGGCCGATGCTCTATCCACTGAGCCAAAACGGTCAGGGCTATTTTGTTTCTTTATACTTACTTTCATTGTTTTCTAATCTGATAATGTACAGTACTACTTTCATAATCAGGACTTTTAAAATTTACTTTATACATATTTGAATTCTTTGAATTAAAAATAATATCTTCTAATTGAAAAAAATATAAAAGAAAATAAAAGGTATCAAAGTAACTGAAGTATAGCCCAGCCAATGTTGCTCAGTGGTTGAGTGTCAATCCACGAACCAGGAGGTCATGGTTGAT